GCATCTCCCGGGGATCGAACCCACGCCAGAGAGGTAACTGGATTAGAAGTCATCGACTCTAACCACTCGACCACGGAGACGGTACAAAGCTGTTAATTAAAAATCATTTTTTGAACATTACACAAAATTAAAGTTGTATAAACCAAACCAGTTAAATACATCAACATTGAATGAACAAATTACAAAAATATAGGGCGTGCATTTACTTTTATATAAACGATGATTACGGATAATTATTGTTTATTCTTTTGTTTTCTTGTCTGATCAAGTTTGTTGTCACCGGAAATGCCAATCTTGCCTATAGTAAATTCCAAAGTACGTACCATTTCCGGAGCGGTATGCCTAAAATACGAAAGTGAGATTTTTGACGAAAGTGAGCGAAAGTGAGCGAAAGTGACTTTTAAAATTTGAATTGTACCGTTTTAATAGAATATTACAGTAAAATTGCTGTTTGTAGACGTAAAATTGTTACAATTGAAATAATTATAAACTTGAACAAAAATCATAATTATTCGAATTAGATTCTGCGTAACTTCTTTTTTTCATTTTTTTTATTATTATTTTTTTTCCCAAAATTTCATAATTGCCGTAATATTTTATATCAGATTTGAATATAGCCCATAAAAACAGATTCATTTAATTTATACAGTGTTGTATCATTATAAATACTAAGAAATATATTAATTAAGTGATTTAATACAGATAAGTTTGTCCTTCGACGGAAAATATATTAAAATACGGTATATAGAAAGTGCTTATTTATTTTAACGGAGAAACTAGTACCCCTTATTAAAGAACACGTGGTTATCCCATGTAGACAGAATAAAGTTCCGCATCATTTGACCAGCAATAATGCAGAAAGTGCTAACCACATTTTAAACTCTTCAACTCAGTGGAAATTGAGTTCAATGCCGGAGTTTGTTGAAACATGGATGGACATAGTGGTAAGTGAAAGGAAAGAAAGAGAGCGAGCTATCCGAAACATGGGAAATTACAAACTTGCAAACACACATGCCCATCATGATGTGTGTATCTCATCGTGGTCTTATCTGACTCACGAACAACAGGAAAGAAAACTTAAGAAACTTCGCGCCTACCCCGGTAAGACGACGCACACCGTAACATCAACTAACGGCATAAGGACTGTTATAAAGACTCCAACAGCAGGAAAGAAACCACACCAAAATAAAAGGAAAAGAGCAGAACGTTCCAGAATTCCATACCCTCACATGATTCGTAATTTTGTCGGGCAGGGGGGTCGTAAGACCTACCCGGTAGTATGACAACTTCCCGACTGTTGATTTATCCTTAATAAAGCAATATAAATCTCATTGTATTCTTATTCAATTATTGTTGTTTTCATATTTCCAGTTATTTTATAATTATTTTCAGGCTATGTAAGTATAAATTTTATTATTATAATACTTATATATATTAAAATCTTACCAAATATTAAAATACATTAAAATAATATCTACTGTTTTCTTTCAACTTATATTATAAGTATATTATATAAATATATAAAAAAAACTAATGATTACATAAAAAATATTTTGATAATTTGAATTACATGTTTATTGCACAACTAAATTGAAAAAGTTCTTTTAAAGAGATTATTCAACATTTTTAGACCAAAAAAAATAATTTTTGCTTGCTTTAAAAGGCTTTGAACCAAACATAATTACTAAATTAAAAAAAAATAAATAAAAAGGGCCATGAAAGAGTTCCTCCACGTGGTGTGGCCTGGATGCAGATGGTACTGTATATTGAAAATTAATACCAAACCATCTGTAACTGAACGCTCTTGTAACTTAATTTCAACACAACATATATTATTTTAATAATTCTCTTTTAAAGTTTCATTTCTAATTAAATATTATTCATTTTTTTATAATATACGTTTACATAATTATATAAAATTTAATTTAAACGCTAAATATTTAATAACTTTATTATGTCACTTTGGGTTCCTCTCGCTCACTTTCGTCCGAACAAGTCACTTTCGTATTGTTCAATGCGAACATTAATTTCTTACAATACACGTCTACAAACGGCAATTTAAGTACATTTTTTAATTAAAACTCTATGTTTGATATTTTAGATGTCACTTTCGTATTATTCAATATAAGCGAAAGGAAGATCGCTGCTATTGTATATAAAATTAGGCCAATAAATGGCGATTAAATCATGATTATGGTTATTTATTATAATATATATAATAATTTGCTAATAATATACGTCTGCAAACAGCAATTTTACTGTAAAATTCTATGAAAATGGTACAATTCAAATTTAAAAAGTCACTTTCGCTCACTTTCGCTCACTTTCGTCAAAAATCTCACTTTCGTATTTTAGGCAAACCCTTTCCGGAGTATGGTGAAAACCGCCAAAAATCACTTAAGTTCAGATCTAGTTATATCTTCCATTAGAAGAAGTATCAAAATACCGTTATCCGTGGAAGTTAAACAAGTAATTTTTAAAAAATAAACATGAAATAATGGTCAATTTTTAATGGGCAAGACTGTTTTGGCAGTTAACCTGCCGACTATATGGACAGCATCATGATTGTTCTCGAAATCGTGAAAAATTATCTACTCAGTATTGGTTTCCAAAGGGTTAAAATAAGAAACCGCATCGCTTTCAAAATAATAAAAGCTGGTTGTTTGAAAGAGCACGAGAATTTGACTGCCTATGGATAAATGTTAGATCCTAATGTGTAGCCTAATTCAGGGACTGATTTTAATTAGATTGGAATATACCTTAGATATTTCTCATCCAAAATAAATTAAAAGTTTAGTTTACCCAAATTCCTTCTAGGGCAACATTAAATTTATAAATATGGTACAAGATGAACATAATGATTGTGGACTTTCTTTGGGAATTCTATTTCTCTCTATTGTAACAGATAAAATTATTGTGAATTGTGTGAAATGTGCACTAAAATTTTTTTAACAATGTCTAATCCAAGGAAGCTAGGCCAGGCTCTATTAGTTTCAAAATATGCTATTTGCTTTGACTTTGAAATGGATTATAACTGACCGGAGATTTTAACCTTGAAATAGACCACAAGACGCTTTTATAATGAAATAAAATATGTGGACTCTTCCCATTCTATTTTGTAAACTACAATCACATGGTTTCTGTTGGAACGTAAAATTTGTCATTCACAAGTCTCGTACCAAATATCATCTGAACTCTTTCTTTCCCAGAACTATCCGCTCTTAGAATAATCTCCAATGGCATATCTATTTAAGTACCAATTTTAGTTTCTTACCAGAAAGGCTAACATCGGTTAAAATTTAAAACTACTACCTTAATATTATTTAATAATTTTGATATCTGCATTCATATATATCTTTGTTTCTTTTAACTGATGCATAAATAATTATGTTTATGTAACTTTAATTTAAACTGTCTAACCTGACAGCATCCCCTGTCAAAACTCGAAAGTATCAAGAATAAATTGAAGTAATTAAATGGATATAAAAAATGATGAAATAGAATTGACCCTGCCTGACGAGATACCCCTTTTAACATAGAGGAATTTTTCGTTTCACATATGAAATATCGAAATATATTTCACCAAGTGAACAATAGATATAACATTTTCATTAGTGGCGCAGCTTGTGTTCTTGCATACAAAACAAACAATTTTTCTATTAAGTTCATGCTTGTTAGTAGTTTAAGTTATTTCTACAATTTTTGCAGTGTAACGAATGTGCCCTCATTCAAGACGTTAAATGTTAATATATTCACAAGTCTGAAGAAAGGTTTATCACATTTTGATTTTATTGTGTTGGATGCTGATAAACATAACGATCATGCACTTTCAAAGAGTAACATTGGCTTTTATTGTTTCTTATTTAATTACTTCAAAAGATAAACTTTAACTCTTACCAACCATACTCAATTTTTAAGTCCGACGTTTGGAATTTTGTTGATTTATGTTATTGGCTATGCCAATAATAATCATTATATTGTATTTGAGTATTGTAATCCTTAAATAAATACTTAAATATCAACTTTGATATCAACGAAATACATTTACAAATATCTTGTTCTGAGTTCTTCTAGATAGATGACCTAAACAGTGGACTAATTTATTTATTACGGAAAATTATTAAACTTTTAAAAGCTGCACGCCTCCAGATGAGCCAAAATATTTCAAGAAATGCAATCTGCAGAAAAATGTATTAAGATCGTAAGAAAAGTAAAAAGATTCAAGACTTGATTAATTTCTTATATGTTATGCGCACAAATTTGTGTAGACTTTGACCTCTTTTTTTGGTAATTAACGTGGATTGTAAATGCCGTTCGCATTACTTTCTATGTTCACTTCACAATATTTTATTTTTTAAATACATTTTCAAAATTTTCCTGAAAATTAACAAGAATCTGGACGAAATTATGCTGTTTTAAGCGGTATGCCAAAAAACGAAAGTGAGATTTTTGACGAAAGTGAGCGAAAGTGACTTTTAAAATTTGAATTGTACCGTTTTAATAGAATTTTACAGTGAATTTTCTGTTTGTAGACGTAAATTATTAGCAACTAATAATATTTCTTTCCAAAATAATCACTATGATGATTTTATCGCCATTTATTTGCATAATTTCTATACACAAGTTCTGAGATCTTCTTTTCACTCACTTTGAAAAATACGAAAGTGTCTTTTAAAATATTAAATATAGAGTTTAAATTAAATTTATACTAAAATTGCAGTTTGTAGACGTATATACTATCAGAAATATATAATATTTATTTTCAAAAATAATCATTATGATTTTATAACCTTTTGTTTGCATAATTTCTATATACAAGTTCTGAGATCTTCTTTTCGCTCACATTGAAAAATACGAAATGCGTTGAATTGAAAGTTATACTAATATTGCATTTCTCAGGCGTATGTTATCAGAAATTAATATTATTTATTTTAAAAATAACGATGTTTTAAGTGTATTTTGGTAGTTAATGGTGTATTTGAACATACCGTGCTTTTCGTACGGCCAAACGGTATATAACAAAGACACGGTGCATTTACAGTTTCTACCCATTTAATTAGTCCCATCGATTTCAACAAAACATGAAACTGAAACTAGATTGAAAATGGCCGAAGGCGGAAGATGTGTCCCAAAACTCAAGGTAAACTTCTTATAAAAACATCTTGTATAAATTTCTGTTATCACGATATTAAGTTCTCTCTTTCGGTGTGTGAGATTATTAGATAAAATATCACATTAACCACTGTTGTCTACTGTGTGTCGCCGGTTCTTATCTCAACATTTTGTCATCATTGACTTTTTCTATTAGATCTATACAGTACAGATGTGAATGTGTTCTTTCATATTTTATGTATTTTTTTTTATAAATCAAATTTTCATATAAGTTATGTGTAAAACCTCTTGCTATAAAATTTCATAATATTGAACAGTAGATAGATTGCATTTTTATTTCATCATAATTATGAATTGTATTTTTTCAGACTCATTCAATCCTCCATGATTACACGGTTGAATGGAGCCAGAAACTTGGTACAGGGATTAGTGGACCAGTCCGGTTCGTATCTTGTGATATCTTTCCTTTCTAAATTTGTTTAATTCTAATAATTGACTATAAGTTCTGGCTTCTGCTCTGAACAAGTGTATTTTGAACTGTCTATGGCACAGTAAACAATTTTAATATCAAAGTTGTTAAGTTATGCGCATATATATCCCAGGAACTTGAAATTCTATCAAATGCCACCCTATTATTTTCGGCGTATTTGCCATATGGACGGCTTTTCCGTTTCTATAATATTAATTATAATTATAATAATAATAATTATAATAATAATAATAAATATATAGATAATTATACCATCGACAATAATTATTATATACTAGCAGATTTGGAAACATATATAATTATTATAATCATAAATGCTAATAACAAATAATAATAATTATATTAATTAATAATATAGTAATTTCTTAGAAACCTTCTGGCAAATAGGTGATCAATAAATACATGTAAATAACCCTCTGGCAGCGAAAGGGTTAAGAAACCAGAAGAAGATTTGGTTTAAACATAATTATTTATGCTTGATTGTTAAACAATTTTTTGCAACTTATATTAATCACTTTTGAGTCCACAGTAGTGGCGTCAGATGAAGAAACATGGTTGTGACATGATTAGGGCTCAAATCCATGATCCCTGGGTTAAGAGGCAGACACCTTAACCACTAGGCCACTGCTCCCCTACAAGACTCAATGAGAAGGAGATAGAGGGATAAAATAAACTGGTTGTCTAAACCATGGGGTAAAGCAGTGAAATCAGTAAACATTAACTTACTTTACATAATATTTAGGCTATGAAATATTTTCTAAACTTAATATAAAAAATGACATGTATCACTATCGTAGACACTCTTAGATTTGTTGGCATTTTGCCAGTCTGTGAACAGTGAAAAATAAAAAAAAGTTTTTATTTCATTTCAGACCATGTAAGAAGTTGAAGACTGGCAAAAGTTTTGCTCTGAAATGTTTACCAGATAATCCCAAGTCCCAGACGGAAGTGAATATACACTTCATGTGTAGTGGACATCCTAACGTTGTCAAAGTTCATGATGTTTATGCCAATGATCTACAATTTCCAGGGGACAAACAAGCAAAGTATGTAATGACATAGCCTTGTTGTTTTTTTTTTTTACCCTAAGCCTGCACAGATATATAAACAACGGATAGGAAACTCCGAAAATAGACGAGAGTCCGATTCAGACCCACAATCCTTTGCGCTTCAGTGATAATCCGGCTGTTCTGCTAGTCTCCGATTTTCACGCTATAGTTAAACTTCGGTGATATTCGTGAATTATTGCTTACATTGCAACATGGATTTTCATCGGAGAAATATTTGTGTGGAAAAGTGTGTTTTGTATGTTTTAGAATAAATAACTATTGCTTCTTATATAAGTAAAAAATGTTTAGTCTTTTTTGTTGATGTACCTCCGGGAATTCAATATGGCGGTATTTTGGCTACTTTTACCCAGGATGCATCAAATCTCGCAAAATCTCGCGACATATGATAACTTGCGGGAACACAATTCCGTCGATACCGATTTTAACTGTGTGACATCACAGTCTCTTCTCCATCTTATATTAAGCTCCATGAAGCATGCTTACTGCCTGATCGTAAAAGGCGACTAGATGGGTACTAATAACTGGAGTCTATCACTATGCATGTCTTACCTAGAGCAGGTGATGTGGTCTTGATCCCTTGTGTTGCTTTAAGTTTGTAACAGCCGAGGTTAGCTAAATTCATCTTTCCTGTTTGCGGCCCCATATGACTTAAATTGTTTTGGTTTGCCATGAAAATAAACAAACAAGAGATAGTAGATCAAACTGTAATTTAACTGTATTATATCTCAACTTTGTAGACCTTTCTTGTTGATGGTGTTAGAAATGATGGAAGGAGGTGAATTATTTGACAGAATTAGTAAACAGAGACGTTTTACAGAGAGAAAAGCTGCACGGTATTTTAAGAAAGTAAGTTGACATATTGAAAATATAGATTTTTTTATGTTTCCATGCAAATTCTGCTAGTAGCCAATGAAAAAATTTATTTTATATACAAATAAACATTTTAAAAAAAGCAATATATGATAAACATGTTAAAATATAAAAATGCTGTACTATAAAAATGATGATTGTTTGTCCTGAATCATCAAGACTGTAATAATTTGTACTTGAATATCCGCTAAACTAGATTCTATCCAATCATTATTCTATTTAGATTGCTGAAGCAGTGAGGCATTGCCATAGTCTAAATATAGCACACAGGGACTTGAAGCCTGAAAATATATTACTGGCAGATAACACAGAGGTAATACTGAATCTGTTAAAAAAATTGACTTAACAGCTCTACATGAAGCATAATAAACTCTTCACATGTTTTATATATATGATAACCTTGTCCCTAATTGAGTAAACTTCATTTGGTTTTTACTTTTGTGGGTTCAAATCCTTCAGGGTCATTAGGAGTTTTCATGTGAGGAATCTACCCAGCTAGCTTAAAGAAGATTGATGCTTCTACTCCATGTACTCAGGTGCTTGCTAAGCTGCCTTGAATTATGCACAAAGGGGCACCTAATGTCCTCCTTCTCCCAGTGAAGCCAGTTTGACTTTTACAATGTTTGTGTTACTTAAAACCAAACAAACACCTGAAAGTTTAAATTGGGTTCAGTCCATTGTTATTGGATTTGAATATCAAAATTGTAGAATAGAGTAGCCATTAGTGTAGGGTCTGGTCAACAAAAC